GAATGGGTAATGAAGAAAAACTTTAATATAACAGCAAATGTACAATGATGACAAAACCTTGTCGAAACGTTGTACATTTGCTGTTATATTAAAGTTTTTCTTCATTACCCATTCAAGCCGTCTCCAGCCATTATTAGTCTCAAAGTGGGTTCCTCGTCATCGAATTATCAGCTGGATATTCATGCTTTTTCATTCTGTGTATAAAAATTCCCTAGGTACATTTTCAACATACATCACAATTAACTTCTACTGCTTCAAATTCCATGTTAAAATCATTTCATGAAACAACAACTTACTTAACTAACTTTAAAATGACACTCTACATGTACAAGTTTCGGCATGATCTACGTCATCTTCTGTGGCTTCAATAAAGTTTTAAATTGTGTACACAGGAAACATTGTTTTTAATTATTTATTATAATTTTAAATATTACACAAGTGCCGGTAATTCTTATTTAACAACTTACTTTTAACAGAACAGGTAATATTTTTTAACAATCTAGTTTTTAGTCGTTTTCTTTTGTTTTCCTGGTGAGAGAAATAGTTTCTCCTGATTCAGAATAACAAATAAAGACCAGAATGTATACACAAAACTTACAAAAGTGAAACACAGTAGTTATTTTTCAACTGAATATTAAAAAGAAAAAGGGGAACAAAAAAGTTCCTATTTGAAGACTGTTTGCTAAAACACAGGGATAGGCTTTGTTTGTTTTAAAAGCAACTGTACTAATAAATATGTTTGTAAATGAGTTATAACTATCAAACCTGTATACGATATGGTTATTAAACATTGAACACAGATAAGTCCCATCAGCTTCATCTCACTATAACTCCACCACAGCTTTCTTCATTACTTATGCTTGTTTTGGATACTCAAGCAAAGCTACTAAACAAATGGCTACTTGTATTCCCCTTCCCTAATTGTGAACTGATAGACTAGAAGAAAGGCAGATAGTAAATAAACTCTTACCATCAAGTCTTGGGCTATTTTAAATCAAATAGTGTAATTTGACTTTAACTCAAATAAAGTATCCATGGCTTCAAAGTGCATAGCACAATTTTGCAGCAAAGGGGCATACTAGCCTATGCCTGTTGATTCTATACTTAATTGTGTGTTGTTTTTCTGTGATAGTAACAGCTGGTAATTACCTTAATTCCAGCATTTCTCAGCAGTTCAAGGGTTGGCCGTACCTCTTCCTGGAGCTTATCTTCAACTCCTGTCAAACAAAGTAGCTCCATGTCTCGCTCTAAACTTTCCAGTACAGCAGTTACACGTGCTGCTCGGTCTTGAATACTGACTTTAGCCTGGTTGTACCGAGCCTTTGAAGAAAGCATAACTTAACTGATAGTCAGTGACGAAACGTGCCATCGACACACAGTAACTTATTAAAAACTTTAAAAATACATGCAGATACCACTAATATTTTATGGTTAGACATTGTGAAAGAGGATGTAATTGAAAAACATATATATTAATGGCAGACATGCTTCAGGCTTATGTTAAAAATTTACCAAATTTCTGACTAAAAATATCCATGGAACTGTCACGTAACAAAAGCTTTATTAACAAGTTGTATTTTGAAGTGTGAAAACTGTAAGAAAAATCTTAATATCATTTTGCTCTTTATTTCTTAATAAAAAGGCTTACTTCAAAGTCAGCATACTGTTCTTCTGTTAACACTTTCTTTGCTACTACTAATGTTCGAAGCCCTTCCCGTGCCATGTTTCCACACTATTATGGAACAAAAAATCCAGCTTGAAACATTAAAAAATGTTGCATGTTAAAAGAAATTTGTGCGTTATCAATACTAAAGTAATTTTCCTTCTATAATGAATAACACAGGCCTGTAAATTTAAACTTCATAAAAGTTGTTTTGGTTTTAATAACGGATTTTCCATAATTCAGATACACAGATATCAAAAATAATTTGCACTTTTTTTACAAATCGGGATGAAAAAAAACTCTTACTGAGATCAAATTATCATTTCATTTACCACAATGGACCTTTTTTATTATTATGTTTGTTATGTTTCGGTTCTAGAACGATCTATAAGACTCTCACGTCACGATTAGTCTAGAGAAATCTGCAGCCAGTGGTT